TTTTTTTGAACTGAGGGAAATTAAGGGAGGGAGGATGGAGATACAAGGGAATTAAACTTCAATGGTGTGGGTGGAGAATCTACACAATAACCACACAAGCCACAAGTTAAGGTTCAGTACATATGTACTTTTAGTTTATTAGAATGTTAATATATATTTCTTTTTTGAACGTTTGGGTGGGACTCAAATTTCACTTCGTCAAGTTTAAAGTGAGAAGTCCTTTACAAGGACAAGGTATTCATTAAGTTATAAGGACGTTCTAAAAAGGTTAGTATTTTTGATAACGTAACCTCATAAAATTGTATTAACACTACCATATGTTATTGCTAAAATTGAAACATTTGGCAAAAACTATTGAGTAATAATATAAAAAGTCCATTGACCTCTCATTGGTATATATCCATTTGAAAGGTGTTTCATTTATGAATAGTACAATAGATTTTTCATTTTTAGCCATAAATCAAACATAGTAAATAGTAGTTCTTAGAAAAAATAAATAGTAAATAGTAAGTAAATTCCTATTTCTAGTATCTTGTTCACTAAATAATGATTCAAAAAATGATAATGATAGGTTTACCCTCATTATCTACACACTCCATTATACCCTTCAATATCCGTTATTTTCCGTTAATTACACCTTAACTCCGTTACCATCTTTCCTTTCTCCTCCTTGCTGTTCACCATCCTCACCAACCAAACCAAAACCTGCAATTTCATCTAGGTTCTTTGATTTTCAACCTTCTTTTCCCTCCTCCTTTCTTTTTCTTCTTCTTTCCCTCTCCTCCCCTTTTTTTCCTTCTCCCAAATTTGGGTTCTCCATAAGAACCCAAGGGTTCTCCTGGAGGAGGATGATGGAGGAGGGAGAGAGAGAGAAAAAAAAGAGGAAGAAAGAAAGAGGAAGAAGATAACGGATGAAGAGGATGAGGATGAAGGTGAGGAGGTTCTTTGATTTTCAACCTTCTTTTCCCTCCTCCTCCTTTCTTTCTCTTCTTCCCTATGGGTTCTTTTTCAAGAGAACCCACATGAAGAAAGAAAGAGGAAAAAGATAATGGATGAAGAGGATGGGGATGGAGGTGAGGAGGAAGATGGATCTAGCTGGTGAGGATGGTAAACAACAAATAGGAGAAAGGGAAGATGGTAACAGAGTTAAGATGTAATTAACAGAAAGTAATGGAAATTGAAGGGTGTAACAAAGTGTGTGGATAATGAGGGTAAACCTGTCATTATCCTTTAAAAAATTGAAGTGTAATCTGTCCTATGTAAACTATATTTCTTATGAGCCATTAACAAAGAAGGAAAACCCCTTGACATTGGAGATCACTTTTCCATCAATAATTAAAAGTAGTACAACGTGCATCGAGGGAAAAACACTGCAACACTTTCATAATGTTTTTCTAACATTAACTTTTTTCCATGGCAAAAACCCTTCAAGGCTTTAGGTGGTTTTTTCCTTGAGGCTTTGACGTGTGTACGTTTCCAAGAGTAGAGTGGCTTTCTTTTCTAGCTGTTTCTCAATCACAAGTAATTCATCGTAAACTTTTTTCAAATTTGTTGTCTCGATGAATTTTATTAGCTTTTATCTCATTTCTTCAAATTCTTTCATCTATACATCTTGAAATGTCATAAATTTAGTTGTTTTTTAACCCTAACGGTTGTTTCCCTCCCCTCCCCTCCCTTCCCCTCCCCTCCTCTGTCGAGCCTCCCTCTTTTCCAAAAGTTTTGCTAATCAAATAGAAAAATTTTCATCTTGCCCTCCCCTCCCCTCAAACCAAACATACTATAATATAATGTTTGAAAACACTAAAAGTTTAAAACTATGATAAAACATGTTTTTCCAAGTACAGTTTAGCAAGCTTTCTTGCAGCATCTTATTAGAGTGATTCCTTCAAGAATCAAGGAGGTTTGGTCACTAGTCTTTCTGGGCAAGAAATAAGTTGGTGTTTCAACAAGTTGAACCTTCACAGGATGAAAATTTTGAAACAGTATAGGTCAAGACTTTTTTGTGGCTGTAGGGGTATGGTGGGAAACATTGTTTTTTATTTTTTCCTATCAACAATTTGTTGACCTGACTAGAAAAAGTTTAGTTCCATTTAAATAAGTTCTCGAATTCAAGTCTTATGAATGGAGATATAGGCGCTAGAGGAGCTTTTTCTTTTATGGAATGTGACCTTACTATATTATGAATTAATTAAAGTTCAATGTGTCTTTTAGATAAAGGAGGTTTAGTAAAAACAATAAAATAGTTTTTTTTTTTTTTTACATGATTGGCATCATAGCCCTAGTTTATGTGCAAAATCATGTCATAGGTCAGAGTTATCTATTATTGCTCATAGACTTGCACAGTTTTAAAAACTATTGGCTATATGATATAAAGGCATGAGTACTCCTTATATTCTAAAAAAGTAACTACATATTTTTTCTTTTGTTAATTCAAAATCGAGGTCATAGGTCTCTAACACTTTCACTTTCACTTTAAAAAACGTATTATTTCCCATTTAATACATATATTTTATACATTAAATATTAAGAAGAGAGGGTGAAGTAATTATACACAAGACATCAAAATCAAAATATTAATCCTAAAATTAGCACTTACATAAGAAGAATTGAGCTAGAAATCAATCTTGGAATAAAATCTTCTCTTCTTATTT